CACGTCGGGCAAGTGACAAACGCCTCCTTCGCACAGGAACTAGGCGCACTGCGCAAGTGTGCGGGCTGGGCCTCGCGAGGGTTGGGGCGGTGCGCTTCCGGAGGGCGTCACAGGGGTCGGGTGGTGGGGTCCGGGTGCCGGCCTAGGGGCGGAGCTGGGAGATGGCGTTCGGAGCGGCTCGCCGGCTGGCTTTGGCATCCGTCCGATCCGGGGCTTTCCGGAACGGACCGAGCTTGAGGAAAGGTGGCGATGTCTCCGCCGGAGCGGGTGGCTCAGGCCGGAGCCTGGTACCGTCGAGGTCAGTCATCGTTACTCGCAGCGGCGCCATTTTGCCCAAACCGGTGAAAGTGAGTGTCTGCCTGGAGGCGGGGCGAAGGGGCTGCGGCCAATCATTATGGGGAGTGTGCGCGGGTCGACGCTGACTGATAGGAGCAAAGGCCAATCGTACAACCGCCTTAGACCGGAAGACGGATCAAGGACAAAGTTAAGCAGTGATGCGCTGCTTATTTTGACAGGTGGGAGGAAATGGGTCGGATCCCGGTATTGAGTTGGGCGCCCGGAGACAGAGGATGGGGGGTGAGAGCTGAGAAAGACTGCACTTCGCACTAGTTCTTCGTGGGGAGCGTGGTGCCCTAGTTCTCGGGGCCACAAGACTCGGCTTTATGCGTCCAGTGTAGACAGATCCCGTAACCACTCCGTTCTTGTCTACCTCACAGTTGGTGGGATGGAATGATGAGTTGTGAAGGGGCTTCGTAAATAAAGGGTACGTGGGACAGACCTTGTATTTTTGTGAGTTTTGACCTAGTACTTAATTCACGTTATTGGCAGTCCTGAGAGGTGGGCAGGGAATTATTACGATCACAGTTTGTACAAATGAAGTCGGGCCAAAGCAGTGAAGCCGTGAGGCTCCAAAGCTAGCGGCGACTTAGGGTCTGGAATCCAGGTTTCTGGCTGGTACACCCTCACCCCCAACCAGGTCCTATTTTTTTCCACCACTGAATGCTATCACATGTCCTGAGTACCCTTGGGTTTTTCTAAGTAAAATGGAAACAGCCCCTTACACCAAACAGGTTTGCTCTTTGACTCCAGGGCCGTGTGGGAGTTAACAAAACAAAAACAAATTCTCTTAAAGCTAGTGTGATCAATGCTAGCTCGCACAGACGAGTGAGTTCAGGACTGTTTTGTGGCAAGAAGCAGGGTCCATATTGGGGAAGAGCTGCCTTATAAAAAGGCATAGCTGGAAAAAAAAATTTTTGAAACTCCGTAGGAAAATATGAGAGGATATGTTGAAATTCTACTGAAACTCCCCCAGTCCCTCTACACAGCTAGTCTTTTATGATAAAGACATGCTCGCTTTTCAAAACATGGTTGTTTTTAAGATTTAACGTGGTGAAATTAAACTTCTCAGGCACTGAGGAATCTGTTGGAGAACTGTATGGAGTATCCTTCCACTGTACGTGCTGCACATCTAATTTTTAGATGTCTAGAATGAACGCATTACACTTTTCTTTCTGGTAGCCACATTGATCGCCATAAAATAACCTTCTCTCTTCTTCTTCTTTCTTGCTCTCAATGTTTCCAAAATCAAGTAGTTGCGTATTACGGGCCTGGGGTCCACAGGAGTGCCCCTGAGGGGCCAAGCCTTCTGTGGTCCAGAGTTGGCTCTGGAGCTCACAGCCACCGCTCTGACCCTCTGCAGATGTCCTTTGGCCTTCTCCGTGTGTTCTCCATTGTGATCCCCTTTCTCTATGTCGGGACGCTCATTAGCAAGAACTTTGCCGCTCTACTTGAGGAGCACGACATTTTTGTTCCAGAGGATGATGACGACGATGACTAACAGGTAAGACTTCCTTTTCTCCTACGTGGACCAGGAACAGGAAGGGGTGGGGCATCTAAACTCTGATGCAGTTTGCCCTGGTAGCAGTTTCTGGTCACTTGAAACAGAAGGGCAGACCTTTAATAAATGGGCTCACTTGGCTGTTTTTATTTTGCCTTTGCTCTATGTTGATGAGAAAAACTATCTTACTGACTTAAAAATTCACTGGGATGGGGCGCCTGGGTGGCTCTGCCTTCAGCTCAGGTCAGGATCTCAGGGTCGAGATGGAGCCCCAGAGCCCCATGTCGGGCTCCCTGCTCAAGAGGGAGTCTGCTTCTTCCTCGCCCTCTGCCCCTTCCCCCCTGCTCTTGTTCTCTCTTTCTCTCAAATAAGTAAGTAAAATCTTAAAAAAAAAAAAAAATTCAATGGGATCTCTTCCAACTGGGTTGATCCTAACCAGACTTTTTGTCTTTTATGTACCCTTGTTCTCTCAACCCACAAGTTTTCTTAACAATTTAATGCCTTACACACCCGTCCCAAACAGCTTCATTCTCCACATTGAAATTTAGAAACTGCAAGTCTTCACCACGGTCAGCAATGTCACCAAACTCTGTGCCTATTCCATTCAGCTTTCTGGTGTTGGCTTCTGGTGCTCTAATACGTGCTGCTTGGCTGCCTTTCTATTGTGGTTAAGGACAGTTCCGGCTCCGGAGTCTGACATTCAAGCTTGCCATGACCTGGCCACACCTGTTATTCCAGTCTCGTCTTCCATATTCCCAACAGCACACCTATCCCCAATAGTCACCATCTCTTGAATTACCCTCATGCTTACCCACTCCCAAGCAGTGGCTCTTCCTTCCAATTGGAAGGCTATTATTTCCCACTACTCCTTTTTTTTTTTTTTTTTTTTTTTAATTCATTTGAGAGCACAAGCAGGGAGCCCTATGCGGGGCTTGATCCCAGGACCTGGAGATCATGACCTGAGCCGAAGGCAGGCGCTTAACCATCTGAGCTACCCAGGCGCCCCTGTTTCCCACTATGATGAAGTCTTCCCTCATTTCTCCATTTGAAAGTGACTGCTGTGCCCTCTGACTGACCAGTACCTCTTGTGACAGTATTATATGCTTAAGCACACAGGCACACCCCCAAATTCTACTAAGAGTTTCTTGCTGGCAAGGAACGTGGTTGTTTGTTTTTAAGTAAGCTCTACACCCAACGTGGGGCTTGAAATCACAATCCCAAGACCAAGAGTCGCATGTTCCACCAACTGAGCCAGTGAAGCGCCCCCCGGCAACATGTTTTTTATACCTTTGGGCCCCCAGTGCCTGGTCTCCGATGAATGTTCATTAAATGTGTGAATGAATAAACAAACTGCTTTGCTCCTGCCTTGTTTGGTAGAACGTCTCTGGAATGCTCTTTCTGGTATGTGGATAGAGGGCTGCTCTGAGCCCAGTTCATTGCTGCTTTCCTTTCTTACAGGACACGGAGGAGGTACAGAAAGGAGACAGCCCTAACTTAATTACGATGGTGACGCTCACAGCCTCTCCTGCTTCCCTATCAGAAGGGCCCAGGGAAAGCCCTCAGCCTCCCAACACCAGTGAAGCCTCCTGCACCATCTGTGACCATAGCCCAGATCCCCAGGCTCTGGGAGGTTCCCAGAAATGTGCCGTCCACTGAGCACAATCAGCTTATGAATAAACATGATAAACATCAGCTCTGTATGACTGCGTGGTGGCTGAAGTGTCTCAATAGGAGTGACCCCAGCTGCAGTTTCTTGTCGCTGTAGTCCTTTCTCGAGCAGCTGAATGGAACAGGCCTTTGACTTACAGCCCAAGATTTCCAGGCCGCCCCCCCGCCCCGGATGCACAAAGGCAGTTACAGGCACCTGGGACTTATTTTTATTATTTACAAAAGCCCAACAGAAACTTTCCCCTCAGTAAAGATGCACAGGATAACTAAAGCCTCAAGCTTTTTTTGTGTTGAGGAACACTGGCGAGTTATTATATTACCAGTCATAAGCTGTGACTGCTTAAAACTCCTTGAGAAACATTGTTATTAGAATGAATCTGTCAACACTTGGGTTCCTTAGAGGAAAAGATAGTAAAGGGGTTGGTGGTGCAGAAAAATATGGGAATGCTCAGGGTGACTACCTACAGATCCCGAACCCCTCTCTCCAGCATTTAGACTGCCTGGGGAGAGAACCATCGAGAGCAGAGATGAGTTCTTTAACCTGTGTCGACATTTATTCCCCTGTCACTGGAGCTATAGCCCGGTTTGCACAAACAGAGATATTTCTGTTCTGTGTGCACTAAACAACAGTGTTCCTAGCAGAGTACCTAACTGGGTAGGAAGTTAATTTCATTCAGGACATGCTTGTTGCAGGTAGATAGGCTAGGCCTCTTCAGAACCCAGGGAGGAACGGCCCAGCTTGGCAGCTGTACTTCTGTGCCTCCTAGTGTTGCTCTCATCTCTGACAGTAAGCACTGGCTAATTCTGGATAATCTGTGCTGTGACACCAAGCAAATCCTGGAGGCTGTAGAAACACGGCTAAATTGGGGAGCCTGGGTGGCTCAGTGGGTGAAGCATCCAACTCCTGACTTCAGCTCAGGTTGTGATCTCAGAGTCGGGAGATCGAGCCCCGAGTGGGGCCCTGCGCTGGGCGTGCAGCCTGCTTAAGATTCTCTCTCTCCCTCCGACCCTCTCCCCACCCTCTCTCTCTCTCTCCCTCAACAAAGTCATCCAGCCTGATAGCCACAATGATACTTTCTGAGCAGATGGCCTCCTCCTTCCTGTTTACTGACATGCAAAGCTCTGAGAAAAGAGAATCTAATTTACAGGAAACACCACACTTCAGGAAAGGGAAAGAACAGGTGGTGTGTATACTAAGACCCCACTTGTTCAGGCAAAAAGTGAGACAGACTGCAGAAGAGGAACTTCCCACTGGCTCACCAATGGAATTCTATTAGGAAGTGACCATCACGTACTGAGTTTATTTGTGCTCTAAAATATTTAAATATCAACATGCACCTTTTCCCTGAGTGACTTCACGGGTCATGGCCAACATAGAACTTGGAAAGGAAATCCTTTGGCCTCGGCGCTTCTGTTTCATGGAAGAACCGCATGATGTGTGTCCGCTGCTTCCATACGTTAATCGTTTCCTCCAGTTCCATCTTTCCCTGCACAAGTGAGGGGAGAGGTGTTCAGTCAGAGTGGCCAAGGGGAAGGAACACGACACTGAAGGCCCGGATTCTGGTCTCTGCTCTGGCACCAACTTATTGAGTCACCTGAGGCAGGTAACATCCTCTGTCAGGACCACAGTTTCTGCATCTGGAAAATGAAGTGGTTGGGCTAACTGATCTCTGCGGCCTTTCAAATACTTTTTAACTCTGTAGCTAACTGATCCCAAGAGGAGAGACTTCCAGGTCAATAGGCCCCTGCCCCATGACTGCCTAACCTAACTGGCTTAACTTGGTTTCTGCTAAACATTCCTCCCGTGGTACGTACTGGTCCACGCTAAAGTTCGCACTGATGCTAATGTGACTGACCAGAGATAACACAATCAGGCCTGGGATTTGATCCCATTTACACAGGACTCGGCTAACCAGCCTGCCTCTTCCAGCTGCAACCTGGTAAAGCAGTAACTTCTAGGAATGAGGTTCAAGAATTTCAAAACTTCCTCATGTCTTTTTTCAAAATACAAGTCCTGGGGCGCCTGTATGGCTCAGCTGGTTAAGTGTCTGCCTTCGGCTCAGGTCGTGATCTCAGGATCCTGGGATCGAACCCCGTGTTGGGCTCTGTGCTCACAGGGAGTCTGCTTCTCCCTCTCCCTCGGCCCCTCTCCCTGCTCATGTGCGCGCACTGTCTCTCAAATAATAAAATCTTTAAAAAAAAAAATAAAAATGCAAGCCCCAATGGGTTTGGTTTTTTTTTTTTAAACAATCTTATATTTAATCAGGTGATAACCTCTAAGTTCATCTGTTTCTTTGAAACACTAAGCAGAAGTTACTGACCTAGTAGTTGCTTTTTAAACTTGGGAGACAAAATTGAGAAGCTCTGGACAAGTTGGCTGCTCTTAAGTCAGTCAGGGGGGGTCAATTACCTTAATAACCAAAAGATCCACCACCCTGGGGTCTGTGACGTGGGCATTCTTCATAAACATTTCTCGGACTTTATCCCGTCCTTGCTTCACGGTGATGTCTAGCTGGAACAAGTTCACTAAAGAGAAAACATGATTCAGGGTAGAAATTACATGGTTAAAACCTGTTTTACAAAAATTGAGTCAATTGATAGTCATTGAACACATAACAGGTTGCCCATTCATTTCATTCAGCAAATATTACTAGCCTGACCCTAAGCTAGGTGCTTACGGCTGTAGAGGGAGACGTGGCGCCTGCTCTCAAGGAGCTTATAGTTTGTTTGAAGAGACAAGACCGTCGTATCTGAAGAGGAGTATAGCACAGTTCAAGGGTATGAACAACCTGGCTTCAAATCCCAGCTGTCACATCACCCATGTGATCCTGCGGACTTCTCTGTGCCGGAGTGTATTCGTTTCTGAGGGAAAGGAGGATGATAACAGCACATAACTCCAGAGCTGTTGGGAGGATTCCATGAGACAAGATGCTTAGAACAGTGCCAGCATGGAATAAGCTCTCAAAAATGTGAGCATTATCATCATATAGAACTGGCAAAAGATGACAGGGTTGAAATTAACAAGCAACGATGTGGTGTAGGTGTGTGCGGCACACAAACTTAGGGTTGAGGGAGACTGCTGAGTGTGCAGGGAAGGAAGGTTTCAGTCCAGCCAGCGATTACGGCCACGTCAGGTTACTCGGGGGAAGGAGGGAGCAGTCTACAATGTAACTCCTCTATTCTCTCAAATTCTGTTCTGAGGGGCAACCATCCACAAATGCAAACATAAAATCACAATATTCAGCAATCCCTGGCTAAGCAGATGCCTAAAAGAGTGGCACAGCCTTAGGGACCCAGCACTTCATATGAGGCACATGTCCTTTGCAAATTAGGTTTTAGTCATTTGTATTCCCATCCTCTGGTAGTCAGCCTTCAGTGGATTCGCTGATGACAACGAGGGCACGAACAGGGCCTTGTGTGGTAGGCGGGATTAGGAAGACGGGGTACATTAGGCTGAGGGGACAGCATAAACAAGGCTCACAGGCTAGAATGAGCATGTGGCTGGGGAGACCTGTGTGCTCATTTGGTGAGGACGCCCTGTGTTTTGGCCATTCTTGTGACATGTCCACTCTCGTCTACAGAATTATCAGAACGTCTGAACACCACGAGAGCTATGGAGTGACTGAATGAATCGACAATAAAGTTCGAATCTATACTCGATTTAGTGACCAATAGAAAAATAAAGCCTCTGCTGAGGAAAATACCATGCCGTGCTGATCCCAGCAGGGAATAAGCAACAGCAGAAATCTAACAGGAGAAACCGCAGCCCAGCTTTACAGGTAAGTGTTAACAGGGGCCAGAAAATCACTCACACTGGAAAGAACTCAGGATCCAGTGGAATGCTGGAGCAGACTCTCATGGAGCCTCTCTTCCCAAATCTGCCTTCACTGACTTCACTTTGGTAGCTTAAAATCAACCATGGTGGGAGTACCAGCCCCCGGAAGATTGGTCAAAGCTGTAAATCTGGGTTCCCACCACAGTCCGTGTCATAATAGGGATTTTATTTTTTATTTTAGAAAGAGAGAGAGCAGGGGGAGGCGCAGAGGGAGAGGGGAAGCAGACCCCCCACTGAGCGGGAAGCCTTATACGAGGGCTTGATCCCACAACCCCGAGATCTTGATGAAACCAAGAGTCAGACGCCAGGTGTCCCTCATTGTAGGAATTTTAGAAAAGAGCAAACAAAGGGACAATAAGACAAAGAGACACAAAAACAAGTGCAAACTAACAAGGATCCTGGAATTTAGAACCCTCCCATTTGGGGGGAGTGAGGCCTCCCGCACTGTGGGTACTTGCCTGAGGTCATACTATTGCTCCCTGGGAAGTGTGGGCCTGGAATTCAGGTTGTTTATTTTTAATTTCCAATCTGATGCTTTTTGAAGGAAATGACTATAAGGACTCTTCTCCTGCTATCAGTGCTTACCTTTCCTGCATTTTTATATTAGATCCCTGCCCAACCTTGGGAGTTTAAAAAAAACAAGGTCCCTCTATACTAGGGGAGCTGGTGCCCATTTGCTCCCATTCCTCATGATTTCCAGAACTACACACCAGGGCGCTGGGTGTACAAGTCTTCTCCTCAGGAAAATGTTTGCAGGCACATATGCAAAGTTTTGCTTACAGTGTCAGTTCACAGATTCCTGAATGCCCATCCTCCCGGTTAAGAGCCCTTGTCTCTAGAGAGACAAATTCCATAGCTTTGTCTTAGTCTCCCTCCTCCCACCCCAACCCTCGGAACATGCCCCTCCTCCAGTGAGAAAGGCTGTGGGAAGGCAAACAGGAACAGCCTAAGCTATCACCTGCTTTGCTTTAACTCGGTGGTTCTTAAACCAGCACTGATTGTGCCACCAGAATATCTGGCAATGTGTGGAGGCATTCTGGGTTGTCACAACTAGGGGAGAGTGCTACTGGCATCTAGTGGGCAGGGGCCAGGGATGTTGTTAAACATCCTACGATGCACAGGACCGCCCCCACAATTATCCAGCACAGATGTGTTGAGAAACCCTGGTATAAATTAATTCCAACTGCTTTTTCTCAACTCAGTTTCTTGGCTTATTCTTTGAATTCTGAATATTTAAATTGCAATTTTGAAAAAATCTAAGAGGCTCAAAAGGAAGGTATCAAAGTGCCCCTCTTGGATGAAGGTGCCTTTCCCACAGGCTCTGCGTGTTTTTCCAAAATTACTGTCAAAGTTTTCCTGAGTCAGAAAGGCTCTGACACATTAAGAGGGATGCCACTGATATCCTCAGCTGTTTGCTCCCATTCACTTTGGGAGCATTCATACCAGGCACTGGGAGATCCTGAGATGGGAAAGCGGCATGGTGTACTGGAGAAGAGCATGGGGTCAGAGGTCAAAGCAGCTGGGTAAGGTCCCCTCACCATTATGAACTATGACCTTGACTAGGGTACAGCCTCCTCAGCTAAAAAATAGGAAAGAAAAGAACCTCAGACCTAATTCCTTTATAGGAACATGGCAAAAATCGAGTGACAACATCTTGTAAACAGTAAGGCGACTATAAACGTTGAACATCTCAACACTTACTCCCCATACATCGATTTTAAGTTTTAATGGTCTGGATATATGCCTATCTTCCTGACTAAACCATAAGGCCCCTGAGGGCAGGGTTGTTTTATTCACTTTTGTATCTCTGGGCATCTCGTACCAGCCCTGTTGTACAAGAGATAGCCAGTGAAATGGAAATTAAATGAATAGTTTCAACAGAAAATCTCCTGTTTTGTAACCAGCAAGCCTCATGTAATATTTTTTCAGTGGAGGGAGTCGAAGGAAGGCAGTTCTGTCTCTGTGCTCCTGTGCAAGGCAGCCACCACCCAGGCAAATGGCTGCTATACACGTGCAGGGTCACTGGGTCCCATGAGATTCGGGGGAAAACTCGAGCAGGAGCCAAGAGCCAGGTGTAACAGCTGGATAGTCAGGGTCTGAAGGGTGGCTCCTCTCCTTACTAACGGTGTGATGAGACACATTTACATGCCTCAGTTTTCTTATCTGTAAGACAAGGACACAATTAGAACCCACCCTCAAATAAGGCAGTGTAAAGCATTTAGCATAGTGCTGGGCCATATGTATGCAATTCAAAAAATGTCAGTTATTAGGGGCGCCTGGGTGGCTCAGTCGTTGGGCATCTGCCTTCAGTGCAGGTCAGGATCCCAGGGTCCTGGGATCGAGCCCCGTGTCGGGCTCCCTGCTCGGAGGCCTGCTTCCCCCTCTCCCACTCCCCCTGCTTGTGTTTCCTCTCTCGCTGTCTCTCTGTCAAATAAGTAAATAAATAAAATCTTAAAAAAAAATAATAAATGTTAGTTATTAAAAATACTATTACTATTCCCAATTCTTGGTTTGGTTCCTCAGCTGGAGTCCCAACGATAGATAGCATGACACCAGCATAGACACAGGCCTGAGCAACTGACCACCTACAGACGACCAGCTACAGACCACCAATCCTCCCCAGGGATGTTGTTAAACATCCTACAATGCAGAGTTGAGAAAAAGCAGTTGGAATTAATTTATACCAGGGAGGTACCACCCCTCTGACCCTCCCCGCCCCCACCCCTTGATCCCACAACCCCGAGATTCCTTTCAGGACCCTTCTGTCTCTGGAATGATCTTCTCAAACAGTATTTGAGGGGAATTCCTGAGAGGGGATAGTTTAAAAACTTCTGGGTCCTGACTGTGGATAACTCGGTCTATCCTCAACTCAGCCACTGATTTTTTTTTTTAACCCTTTGCAAACCATTCTTCCTGCATCTGGGTCTTGTTCCCTACCTCCTACTCCTCTCTGCAACAAGAAAGCGTTCTGGGCACTCATAGCAGTAGTCTGCTAGGCAAGCATTCTCTTTTTAAAACATCCCCAATTGAATACACCCCCCTCCCCTGCCCCAAACACACAAACGGCAGACACTTGCTACTGTCACTTCCCTATACCTATTATCCACCTGTCCCCTGAAGGCATTTAAGTTTGCAGTCCCTGAACCAGCAGTTCACTTAAGTTTCTCCCTCCCTTGTATCCCGGGGTCTAAGCTCTGGTCATGAGCAACCTCTCAGCAAGTCAGGTTCAGGATAGGGGCACTGTGGAGCAGACAGTTCTCATACATCAAAAAAACTGGATTCTGCATGGATGCTCCTGCTATAAGTAACAGTAATAATTAATAATAATCATCATAATAAAAACAACAGTAGCAGCCAACATTCAGTGAGTACCTAATGAAGTGCCAGGGCTTACCCTCAGCACTTTAGAAATATTACCGATTTAATAAGGGCTACTCTCTGAAGAAGGTACTATCATGATGCTCATTTTACAGATGAGGAAACTGAGGCATAGCAAGATAAAATAATTTGCTCAAGGTCACACAGCTAGTAAGGGGGCAAGGTCTGGAGGCAAGCCTCTGTAACTACCACATTCTATTGCTTCTCACACGCAGGCAGGGAAGTGACAGCCCCGAGGGGAGCTATGGTGCTCTAGCTCACTTTAAAAACACCTTCCCTCTGAGACGCGCACTGACAGTCCACGTTCAAACACAATCAACAAAACAACAAAATATCAACAGCCCCTGACATTTGTAGGGTCCTTGACAGTTTAGGTGGGATTTCCCTCCAATCTTCCTCTCGTCAGAGCCATTGGGCAGTGCTGGCGGGGAATGCCAATATAAGAAAACAGAATCTCCGCATCCAGGGACCTTGTATTTCAGTCCTTCCAGTGGACAGATTCGTTCCTGGACATCTAAGTGAAGGCAGGGGACAGGGAGACAGTAGCGGGCAGGCCATTAGGGGGGAGGGGATGAGTTCCTAAGAAACAGGAGAGACAGGTAGAGCTAGGGAGCAAGCTTGGGAAACCGGACCTGGGAGGAGGCCATCTCACCTGGACTGGAAAAAGGCCCCACGGACTTAACTGGAGGACCTTGGGAAAGTCACTTCCCTTCTCTGGCGGTCTGTTTGTGGGAGATGTGGGAAACAGATGATCGCTCAAGTCCTGCCGCCACTTCGTTTACACAACCTAATGGGCACCTGTAAATACATTCAGGAACTCTACGGCTGACTTTGGGTTCCGGATCCATCCAGGGCGGGCTCTGGGCCTCGGGGGCATCACCTCGCCTCTAGGTGCCTCACAGGCCTCACCTATAAAATGAGCACGTCACCCACAGTCCCTGCTCTCCCTCCCACGGGTTCGTTAAGAACTGCGGGGGACAGAAGGGCCAACGCGCCCAGGGCTCCCAGAAGCTTGGTTCGGGGGCAGGGCACGGCTCGAGGCTGGCGCCGCCGCCGGGTCGGGTCCACCAATGCTCGGCTGGCCCTCCTCCCCTGAGGCACCCGGAGTCGCCTGTGCCCAAGGCGGTGACCTCAGCTCGTCCCGGGAGAAATGGGAGGCCAGGACGGCTGCGACCCTGGGCGGCTGCGTCCGGAGCCCCGCGTGCGCCGCGGCCTCTCACCGGTGTTCGGCACCTCGCGATACCAGGCGCGGTACAACTCGCGCACCCTCCGCTTGGCTTCGTTCATGTCCCGACTAAAAATGGGCTTCACTGACGTGGGAGCCGCAGCAGCGGCCCGCCGGAGGCCGCTCGCCGCCATCTTGCTAAAGAAACCACCTTCCGCTAGGGCGGCTGAAGGGCGAAAGCCTTTTGTCATTGGCTAAAACCGAAAGCCACGCCCCTTGGCGCCACGGGTAGGCGGGAGGATAGCTGTGGGGCTCTCTGAATGGCTTGGAGGCCTCCGTCTCTGGGTGGGAACGGCCGCTGGGGGCTGCGCATGCCCAGGTGCGGAAACCCCTGCTCAGCCGTTGGCGGGCCTAACCGTGCCCCAACCGTGCCGCCAGGGGACGCTCGAGCGCCAGACTGGCCGCGGAGCAGCTGCCTGGCGTCCCCCAGCGTCCCGCCGGCCACCTGCTCGCCGCGCTCCTTTGGTTGCGCCCCTGGGCGCGCGGGCCTCGCAGAGCTTCGCGGCTCGTTTTCGCCGGGCGGGGGCCGCGGGTCCCCAGGAGCGGCGGAAGCCCCTCTTGGCGCCTGGGCTTCCTTGGCGCTGGCCTGGCCCCTTGTGTGATTTTTCTGCTGCCACGTTTTTTTCTTTATTTCCCCAGTAAACCAACTCTTCGGGAGCGCTGTGTAGCTGCCAAAGCGCTTTCCTGGCTGTTGGCTTCCTGGCGCTTCTCCACATCCCGGGGAGGTAGGTTCTATCATCAGCCCCGTTTTAGACAAGAACGTGTGCATCCTAACCTGTGGCTCTCTGAAAAGCAGCCCAGAAATGTGGAGCTGGAAGGAGCCTTGCATCGACCGTCCCGGGTACCCCCTCCGTTGCTGGCATTTTTCTGCTGAGGCATTTTGCTGGCATTTTCTGCTGAGGTTGCCTCTGACCATGGGCTGCTAAGGGAGAAATAACCGCTAACGCAGGGCAGGCCGCGCACTAGGCTCGCTAGACCATTTTACCTGGTCTTTAATCTCATGGATCAGAGAGGTTCTGTTAGCCCCCCAGGAGACAGGCGGTGTAGGGTCCAGGCACATGAACACATGCATCACAACACACCTGTGGGATAAGCACCGTTAGACACATTTTACAGATGAGAAAACAGACACAGAGAGACAAAGTTACTTGACAGGGTTGGCTTGAGACTCAGGTAGCTGGCCCTGGAGTCTGTACTCCACCTCTCACAGCGCCTACATCATCACATCTAATTCTAACCCCCTACACGCTCCTGCCTCCTCCAGGAGTAACCACTATCATGAATTTAGTGTTTAACATTCCTTTTCATTGAAAAGAAAATGGCCTCCAAAACAACTCACAAACTGGGAGAAAATATTTGCAAATCATATATTCCATAAAGTATTTGTATTTAGAATATATCAAAGACTCTTACAACTCAGTAATAAAAAGACAAATAGCCCAATTTAAAAACAAGCAAAGATGGGGCGGGCACCTGGCTGGCTCAGTCGGTAGAACATCTGACTCCTGATCTCAGGGCCACGAGTCCAAGTCCCGTGTTGGGCGTGGAGCCTAGTTTAAAAAAAAAAAAAGCAAAGGTGACAAACCCAATGGCAGGAACTCTGTCACTGCTGGTGAGAATGAAGAATCAGCCACTTTGGAAGTCAGTTTGGCAATTTCTTAACAGAACTAAACATGCTCTTCCCATATGATCCAGCAATCACTTTCCTTAGTCTTCACCCAAATGAGTTGAAGACTTTTATTCACCCAAAAACCTGCACACAGATATTTATAGCAGTTTTATTCATAGTTGCCAAAACTTGGAAACAACCAAGATGTCCTTCAGGAGGTGAATGGATAAATAAACTTTTGTATATCCACACAATGGAATATTCTTTAGCATTAGAAAGATATGAGCTGGGCGCCTGGGTGGCTCAGTCGTTAAGCGTCTGCCTTCGGCTCAGGTCATGATCCCAGGGTCCTGGGATCGAGTCCCGCATCGGGCTCCCTGCTCCTTGGGAGCCTGCTTCTGCCTCTCCCTCTCTGCCTCTCATGAATAAATAAATAAAATCTTAAAAAAAAAAAAAAAAGATATGAGCTATCAAGCCATGAAAAGACGTGGGGGGGGGGGCGCCTGGATGGCGCGTGGGCTGAGCAGCCCACTCTTGGTTTCGGCTCCAGTCTTGATCTCAGGGTGCTGGGATGGAGCCCCAAGTTGGGCTCCATGCTCAGTGTGGAGTCTGTTTAAGACTCTCCCTCTCTCTCCCCCTCCCCCACTAAAATCAATCAAAAAATCTTTAAAAAAAAAGACATGGAGGAAAGTTAAATGGATATTACTAAGTGAAAAAAGCCGATGTGAAAAGGCTGTATGCAGTATAATTCTAGTTCTATGGCATAACAGAAAAAGACAAAACTGTGGAGACAATAAAAAGATCATTGATTGCTAGGGGCTGGGGGGAGGGAGCAAGGAATGAATAGACTGTGTGATACTATAGTGGTTGATACCTGTTATTATACGTTTGTCCAAACCCATAGAGTGAACCCTGTTGTAAACTATGGGCTTTGGATGACAGTGGTGTGTCAATGGGGGTTCATCACTTGTAACAAATGCACCACTGGTGGAGGGGGATATTGATAACAGGGGAGTCTGGGGTTGGGGGGTAAGGGTATATAGGAAATCTCTGTACATTCCACTCAATTATGCTGTGAACCTAAAACTGTTCTAAAAAATAAAGTCTATTTTTTTAATGGGCAAAGGATTTGAATAGCTTTTTCTCCAAAGAAGATATACAGTGACCAATAAATACATGAAAAGACACTCAACATGGTTAGTCATTAGGTAAATGCAAATCAAAACCATAACAAGATACCATTTCTCGCCCACTGGAATCCTGGAATAAAAAGACAATAGTCAGTGTTGGTGAGGATGTGGAGAAATTGGAACTCTCATACACGGCTGGTGGGAACGCAAAATGATGCAGCCTCTTCGGAAAACAGCCTGGCAGTTTCTTAAAAACTCCAGTCCTAAGTATCTACCCAGAAGAAATGAAAACATTTGTCCATATGCAAATGTTCATAGCAGCATTGTTCACAGCAACCAAAAAGTAGAAACAACCCAAAAGTCCAGCAACTGATGGATTAAAAAAAAAAAGTGGTTAAAAGTGTGGGATATATCCATACAATGGAATGCTCTTCAGCTATGATGAACCTCGAAAACATTATGCTAAATGAAAAAAGCTAGATGCAAAAAACATATTGTATGATTTCATTTATATGAAGGGTTCAGAAAAGGCAAATCTACACAGATGAGTGGGTTAAGTGGGAATGCAGAGTGCATATAGCATGAGGTTTCTGGGTTTTTTTATTTATTTAAATTCAATAAGCCAACATATAGTACATCATTAGTCTCAGATGTAGTGTTCAGTAATTTATCATTTGCATTTCTGTTTAGGCGGAGGGAGATGCTCTGAAATTAGTTTGTGGTATAGCGTACAACTTTGCAAATGGACTAAAGTCCATTGAATTGTACACTTAAAATGAGTGAAGGATAAATTTTATGTTATGTAAATTATATCTCAATCAAGCTATTGGGAAAAATGGCCTCGGATGATTTTTCAAATGTGTGAAGTCCAGTGTATTTTAATAATGCCTTCTTGCTCTCTCTGCCTTAAAGAAAGAAAAAAAAACCCTATTTGTCTCTGTTAAAAACAATGATTTTAGAAAATTGGGAAAGATTAGCACAGTACAGAAGATAAATATGCTCTATAGAATTAGAAGCAAAGTAGTATATAGTGAAAAGATTTTGTCAGTTCCTGATACCAGTTACAAGCTGTATGTCAAGTTACCTTTCCCCCATGAACTTTGGTTTCCACATCTGTAAAATGGGGATAATAGTGGCTACCACACAGGGGTTGTGAGGATTAAATGAGGTAATGTATGTAATGTGAAGTGCCTAGAAGATGTTTGGTGCACACAGATGTTTGTTAAGTGTCTACTAAACAGATTATGAGAATCCTGTTAACTTTCTTTAGCCTCAATCCGTATAACATGTTACACAGAGTAGATCCTAGTGATCAAGAGCCAGTGAAGGGTGGCAGTCTTGTGGGAGAGGGGGTGGAGTTTATCCAGGGTATTTTCTTGATCCTATGTTTGCATCTAAGACCCTATTTTTTTACTTACATTGTACATTATGCCCCAAATTAAGAAAATGTCAATATTCTGTAACAAAGAATGTTACTCTATTGGGGGGAGGGTGTTGATATAGATGTGGGTTAAAGGCTAACCACTACCCCCAGCCCCTCTTGCCAGTGTCCTTGGTACCCAGTGAATGTTACATTGAGTCAAATTGAAGCCGTCGACATTTATGAGACTTGTTCAGTTGATAGTGGAGTGAGAACTAGCTCCCCAAATTTCTTATTCAGTGTTTTTCGTCCACTCCCTCCCTCTCTCACCCCAGTTGGAGTCCCCAGATGGAGGCAAAACCAGGAACTGATTCATCAGGGTCCAGAAACACAGCCATGCAGTGCCTCCGGCTCGGCCTTTTCTTTCTGGTCCCTATGGGGAAGGGAAAGCGGCTTTTATCATTTTCCCTGTGTTATACCACACATTTTAAAGTAAATTGTAGATTCATATGTATAAGAAATAAAACAGAAAGGTCAGGTGTGCCCTTTACTCAGTTTTTCCCAATGGTAGCATACTGTAAAATGATAGTAACAATAGAACCACCAGAATATTGACATTGATACAATCGAGATACAGAACATTCCCATTACAAGGATCCCTCGTGTTTCCCTTCCCCCAACCCCTTCTTAGTCCCTGATAAAGGGACTCCATTTTGTCATTTCAAGAATGTTATACTTTTGGGCGCCTGGGTGGCTCAGTTGGTTAAGCGACTGCCTTCGGCTCAGGTCATGATCCTGGAGTCCCGGGATCGAGTCCCGCATCGGGCTCCCTGCTCGGTGAGGATCCTGCTTCTCCCTCTGACCCTCTCCCCTCTCATGTGCTCTCTCTCTCTCATTCTCGCTCTCTCAAATAAATAAATCTTAAAAAAAAAAAGAATGTTCTCTGCCGGCGGCCGGCGCAGCCCGACTCAGCTGCTGGGCCCCTGAGGCAGCTCTTGGCTGCATTGGCGACATGGCCGACACCCGCAGAGACGCTGGGCTGAAGCAGGCGCCCACGCCCCGGAACGAGAAGGCCCCCGCGGACTTCGGCTATGTGGGAATTGACTCCATCCTGGAGCAGATGCGCAGGAAGGCCATGAAGCAGGGCTTCGAGTTCAACATCATGGTGGTCGGGCAGAGTGGCTTGGGGAAGTCCACCTTGATCAATACCCTCTTCAAGTCCAAAATTAGCCGGAAGTCAGTGCAGCCCACCTCGGAGGAACGCATCCCCAAGACCATTGAGATCAAGTCCATCACGCATGATATTGAAGAGAAGGGCGTCCGCATGAAGCTGACGGTCATTGACACACCAGGGTTCGGGGACCACATCAACAATGAGAACTGCTGGCAGCCGATCATGAAGTTCATCAACGACCAGTATGAGAAATACCTGCAGGAGGAGGTCAACATCAACCGGAAGAAGCGCATCCCGGACACGCGCGTCCACTGCTGCCTGTACTTTATCCCTGCCACCGGCCACTCCCTCAGGCCCCTGGACATCGAGTTTATGAAGCGCCTCAGCAAAGTAGTGAACATTGTTCCTGTCATCGCCAAGGCCGACACGCTGACCCTGGAGGAGAGGGTCTACTTCAAACAGCGGATCACCGCGGACCTGCTGTCCAACGGCATCGACGTGTACCCCCAGAAGGAGTTTGACGAGGACTCGGAGGACCGGCTGGTGAATGAGAAGTTCCGAGAGATGATCCCGTTCGCCGTGGTGGGCAGTGACCACGAGTACCAAGTGAACGGGAAGAGGATCCTTGGACGGAAAACCAAATGGGGCACCATCGAAGTTGAGAACACCACCCACTGTGAGTTTGCCTACCTTCGGGACCTCCTTATCAGGACGCACATGCAGAACATCAAGGACATCACCAGCAGCATCCACT